CTCTGGGGATATTGCTTCTGAATGTAGCTCTGAAATTCTACATTTTTAATGAACTCTCAGGCAATGCTAACACTGCTTGTCTAGGGACCACACTTTGAGAATCATAGATGTAAATCAATGGTTCTTACCTGGCTGTGCATTGGAGTCACTGGTAGTGCTTTTAGAAGACATACAAGCCCCGCCACTGTATAGATTCTTATTCAGAAGGTCTTAAATGCTGATATATATATATATATATATATATATATTATATATATTATATAAATGTAGAGAAAGAAGACTTTTCATATACTGTTGGAGGAGTACAAATTTATGCAGCCGTTTTGAAACTCGATTTGGCAATATCTTCCTAGAAGAAATTGCAAAGAAGCCACTTGGCAAGCCAACCGGGGAAGACAATATATAGATTCCCACCCTGGGGTCACAGAGCCAGGTGAAGGAGGATGGGCTTTGGCTGGGAGGCAGTAAATATACAACAGGCACAAGGTATGTTCTCTATGATGCAGGAGCTCCACTTCTGGAATTTACCCTAGCAATAGTGTATGTATCAAGATGACATACAGACTTGTTTAATTCCACATTATTTATAGTAAGGGAAAATTGGCAGCAGCAACGTCCATTAATTGATTTATACAAATTATGGAACACCTTTCTAATGAAATAACAGTAGCTAATCTTAATTAAGCAATTACTATGTGCTAGACACATTTCTACATTTTTTAAAGAATTAACCAAATTAACCTTCACAGCAATCATATTTCCATTTTACAGACAATATAATTTATATATATATTGGCATTGGGAAAATGTCCAAGGATATAATAAGCAAAAGATGGTAGCAGAATGCTCTGAATAATACATTATGCATTACCAAGAACATACACTAACAAAAAAAGAGTAATATATTTGATTCTCAATGCACACTCCCTGTGGTAGAACTGTGGATCTAGATTAGATGCGAAGTAAAATCCAGTTACATCAGAAAAGCTGTTGTAATTTGGTTAGCTGGTAACACTTCAGAAGAAGACGAAGTAAAAGGGCCAGTTTGATATGGTGTTTTAGAGTATTCTATTGATTCTATTGATGGTCAAGAGAGGAGTCATTCTGAGTGATTTCTAACATTAAAGATGATGAGAACTGACCCTTAGATGCTCCAATGTCTCCCCCCCCCCCCCCCCCCCCCCCCCCCCCCCCCCCCCCCCCCCCCCCCCCCCCCCCCCCCCCCCCCCCCCCCCCCCCCCCCCCCCCCCCCCCCCCCCCCCCCCCCCCCCCCCCCCCCCCCCCCCCCCCCCCCCCCCCCCCCCCCCCCCCCCCCCCCCCCCCCCCCCCCCCCCCCCCCCCCCCCCCCCCCCCCCCCCCCCCCCCCCCCCCCCCCCCCCCCCCCCCCCCCCCCCCCCCCCCCCCCCCCCCCCCCCCCCCCCCCCCCCCCCCCCCCCCCCCCCCCCCCCCCCCCCCCCCCCCCCCCCCCCCCCCCCCCCCCCCCCCCCCCCCCCCCCCCCCCCCCCCCCCCCCCCCCCCCCCCCCCCCCCCCCCCCCCCCCCCCCCCCCCCCCCCCCCCCCCCCCCCCCCCCCCCCCCCCCCCCCCCCCCCCCCCCCCCCCCCCCCCCCCCCCCCCCCCCCCCCCCCCCCCCCCCCCCCCCCCCCCCCCCCCCCCCCCCCCCCCCCCCCCCCCCCCCCCCCCCCCCCCCCCCCCCCCCCCCCCCCCCCCCCCCCCCCCCCCCCCCCCCCCCCCCCCCCCCCCCCCCCCCCCCCCCCCCCCCCCCCCCCCCCCCCCCCCCCCCCCCCCCCCCCCCCCCCCCCCCCCCCCCCCCCCCCCCCCCCCCCCCCCCCCCCCCCCCCCCCCCCCCCCCCCCCCCCCCCCCCCCCCCCCCCCCCCCCCCCCCCCCCCCCCCCCCCCCCCCCCCCCCCCCCCCCCCCCCCCCCCCCCCCCCCCCCCCCCCCCCCCCCCCCCCCCCCCCCCCCCCCCCCCCCCCCCCCCCCCCCCCCCCCCCCCCCCCCCCCCCCCCCCCCCCCCCCCCCCCCCCCCCCCCCCCCCCCCCCCCCCCCCCCCCCCCCCCCCCCCCCCCCCCCCCCCCCCCCCCCCCCCCCCCCCCCCCCCCCCCCCCCCCCCCCCCCCCCCCCCCCCCCCCCCCCCCCCCCCCCCCCCCCCCCCCCCCCCCCCCCCCCCCCCCCCCCCCCCCCCCCCCCCCCCCCCCCCCCCCCCCCCCCCCCCCCCCCCCCCCCCCCCCCCCCCCCCCCCCCCCCCCCCCCCCCCCCCCCCCCCCCCCCCCCCCCCCCCCCCCCCCCCCCCCCCCCCCCCCCCCCCCCCCCCCCCCCCCCCCCCCCCCCCCCCCCCCCCCCCCCCCCCCCCCCCCCCCCCCCCCCCCCCCCCCCCCCCCCCCCCCCCCCCCCCCCCCCCCCCCCCCCCCCCCCCCCCCCCCCCCCCCCCCCCCCCCCCCCCCCCCCCCCCCCCCCCCCCCCCCCCCCCCCCCCCCCCCCCCCCCCCCCCCCCCCCCCCCCCCCCCCCCCCCCCCCCCCCCCCCCCCCCCCCCCCCCCCCCCCCCCCCCCCCCCCCCCCCCCCCCCCCCCCCCCCCCCCCCCCCCCCCCCCCCCCCCCCCCCCCCCCCCCCCCCCCCCCCCCCCCCCCCCCCCCCCCCCCCCCCCCCCCCCCCCCCCCCCCCCCCCCCCCCCCCCCCCCCCCCCCCCCCCCCCCCCCCCCCCCCCCCCCCCCCCCCCCCCCCCCCCCCCCCCCCCCCCCCCCCCCCCCCCCCCCCCCCCCCCCCCCCCCCCCCCCCCCCCCCCCCCCCCCCCCCCCCCCCCCCCCCCCCCCCCCCCCCCCCCCCCCCCCCCCCCCCCCCCCCCCCCCCCCCCCCCCCCCCCCCCCCCCCCCCCCCCCCCCCCCCCCCCCCCCCCCCCCCCCCCCCCCCCCCCCCCCCCCCCCCCCCCCCCCCCCCCCCCCCCCCCCCCCCCCCCCCCCCCCCCCCCCCCCCCCCCCCCCCCCCCCCCCCCCCCCCCCCCCCCCCCCCCCCCCCCCCCCCCCCCCCCCCCCCCCCCCCCCCCCCCCCCCCCCCCCCCCCCCCCCCCCCCCCCCCCCCCCCCCCCCCCCCCCCCCCCCCCCCCCCCCCCCCCCCCCCCCCCCCCCCCCCCCCCCCCCCCCCCCCCCCCCCCCCCCCCCCCCCCCCCCCCCCCCCCCCCCCCCCCCCCCCCCCCCCCCCCCCCCCCCCCCCCCCCCCCCCCCCCCCCCCCCCCCCCCCCCCCCCCCCCCCCCCCCCCCCCCCCCCCCCCCCCCCCCCCCCCCCCCCCCCCCCCCCCCCCCCCCCCCCCCCCCCCCCCCCCCCCCTCCCCCCCATTTC